AGAACAGGCCACGTGGCCTCTGAATGTCCGTTTTTTCTTCTGTAAAACGGGCATGGTAACTCCCGGCTGGGCACAGCATGTCTCAGAATATATTAGTTTTCTTCTCTCACAGGACTTCCCATGAGTTATGATCCCAGCCTGCCAATCAAGTCTCTCTCTGACTCTCAGCTCATAGCCTGCCTGGGCAGATATGGTCAGTGTCCATCCCCTGCCAGGTGGCAGACTATGTGACCTTGGGAAGTGATATAGCCTCTCTGGGCCTCAGAGTTTTGACCAGTTTTGTTGAAGATGGCATGGGGAATTGCCAACACTGAGCCAGAATATAAAAATCCCTGAATCTCAATAAACAGCAACTCCCTCTATCTCCCCCAAACCCCTCCTAGCACCCAGGGTTTTGTTCTCAGGAGCGTGAGGGGCTGGACAAAGCAAAAAGAGGAATCCAGAAGCCCCAGGATTATGGGAAATGAAAGCAAGTGTGGCCTGGGCTGGCCCTCTGAGAGATGAGCAAGGAGGTCCAGCCAGGTGGCGAGTGTTCCGAGTGTCTTGGCTGGTTAAGGTCAATCAATAATGATCAGCTTTTGGTTGGATGCATTTCCCTGGCCCCAGCTCCAACAGCACCAGAGACAGAGTGTCAATAACAGAGAGGGATAGGGACCAGTGGCTGGTGTGCTGCAGCTGTGGAGGGACCCAGGCAGGATGGAAGGCCAGCCTAGAGGCTCCAGCTGTGCATGGGACCGGAGGCACCGACCACAGCCTCCTCCCCGTGCCTCTCCCAGCACCCCTTCTACTCCAGTCACCCTGGGCAGACACTCGGCGCGGAGCAGGCGCTCTGCATTGCTGGTGGACACCTCACAAGGCCAGTGGCTCCCGCGACAGCCCTGCCCACCTCACCAGCAGCAGAGGCTGCTGGAGTTAGCTGACCTCAAGGCCAGCCTCCACCACTAACTTCCCGCCAAGCCTCAGTTTCCTCTTTTGTGAAAGAGCCATAAATGACCCTGTCCTAACTCCTAGGGCTACCGTACGGGTCTCCTGAGATGATCAGTGTGGAAGAAGGTGATGAGGGAAGGACAGAATTAACTAAGCACCTCCCTAGGTCATCTCTTTCCATCCTAACAACAACAATCCTGAAAGGCAGGTACTATTATCGCCCCATTTAATAACCAGCTGTGCTTCAGTTCAGAAAGGCCAAGTCACCTGCCTGAGGTCACACGGCTGGTGAGAGGCAGGGCCAGGCAGGGCCCTAGGTCTTGTGACTCCAGACTGGGCTTCCACCTGTCTACACACAATTCCCACATGGCACTCACAACGTTGGTTAAAGCTCTTCACAAAAGTCAGGGGCTGCTGTCATTATGATCCTATATAATAAAAGCCTAATATGCAAATCGACCGAATGGCAGAACGACCGGTGGAACAACCAGTCGCTATGACGTGCACTGACCACCAGGGGGCAGACACTGAACCCAGAAGCTTCCCCCAGCCCGCAGGCTCCGATGGGTGGCGGCGGGGGGCAGGGCCGGCGAGTGGGCGGCGCCATGCCAACCAAGGCTGGTCCCAGCAGGGACCCCTCTGATCCAGTCACCCCACAGATGGGTCCTGATCGTTGGCCAGGCCTAGGGACCCTACCCATGCACGAATTTTGTGCACCAGGCCTCTAGTTTCTTATAAAACCCAAGGCTATGAGAGGTTTTCCTTTTCATTCTGCCTCTTTCTCCATGTGGAGAAAAGCAAACTACACAGTTGGCTAGTTCCTGCAGTCTCAGACAATCAGAATTCCAACCGTCTGGGACAGCCAACCCAAGAAAGCAAGAAATTAATCTGTTCAAAGCTAAGGTCTTCGAGGCGTCGCAGCAGTATTTGGGTTGGACGTAACCTTGCTATCCTAACGCAGATGAAACCCCAAATGTAATAAGGCTAAGACAACTCTGACCACGTAAGAACCATAACAGGATATTGCAAAGAGATTAGGGGGCTTCCTCTGGGCGGTGGGACCAGCCAGGGGAGGGCAGGGTGAGGGATGGATGGCATGGTCTACCTGGGGGCCCGCGAGGGGGGTCCCGGTCCCAGGCCTGGCTGAGGACGAGGCGGCGTGGCAGAGGGGAGCTGGCTCCTCCCCGACACCTCGAGGCCGCCTGGTGCGGAGCGAGGCTTCACACTTAGGTTAAATGTAAACCAGCTGCAGGACGGAGTGTTACAGTTGGATGGGGTGGAAAGGCTTACCTCATGAAAGAACTGTGGAAACGGCTGCTGGAAAGATAATAAAAGGATTAGCTGCTATTTTAGTGGGCCATTTACTCTTCAATCAAAGTGTCTCATCTATTTCCTGTTCTCCAGAGGCTCTGGGTCCAAAATTCCTTTGTCTATTACAGCACATGGTAGCAGAGCCCTGTCATGAGAAATTAATAATTTTACAGGGAAGGGTGATTTTATTTATCTGGGTGCGGGCTGGAGCCCGCCCCTTCCCACGGGTTGCCTACTGCACCAGCATCTCCGGAAGGGGGAGCACTCCCACGGCGGGCAGGGAGGAGCTCAAAGGAGACCTCTGCTACCATCTCCAGATGGGGGGACCCAGCAGGGCTGGCCCCACGACCCCAGAGAATCATCAGTTGAACAGGAGAAAATCTGCACAAACAAGAGCACCACCATTTAGAAAGACGTGTCTTCAAATTCCACTCCAGTGGGTATCAGCTGTATGACCTTGGGCAGCAGATACTTATTTATTGTTGTTAGTATTATTGCTATCATGATTACTAGCCTCTACTGTTGTTGTATCGCTAGCTGTAAAATGGGGGTTCTAAGAGTATCTACCCCGTAGGGTAGTGTGAGGACCACACAGAGTTACCGATTAAAATAGCCCCTGCACCCAGTCAGCACACAGAAGCTGCTTGCCAGTATGATCACCATCACCCCAAACCCCCAAAGAGGCAAGATGCAGTGTTTTTATAGCAGCAAGTGGAAGGCCAGCTGGACCCCCTGAAACCTTTGTTTCTTTGCCTGTATAAACTGTTAGTTTTATAGGAGTCATATGAAGATTAAACGGGTGAGTACAGACAACAGCTTTAACATCACCTCCTCCTTGAAGCCCTTCTGGGCCTTCCCTCCTTGAGCCCACGCAAACTCCATCCCAGAACCTGTCACTGATCTCCACGCCATCTCCCACCCATCCCTGACCATGAGTGCCCCCAGGGCAAGGACCATGGCAGGTCTGGGTACCCAGAGTCAGGCATGAGCCAGGTCTAAACCAGTGTCTTTCTGTGGAGTCTGCTGAATCAAGCGAGATCCTGGCAGGCTGGCCCAGAGAGGGATCCTGAGACTACACTGAGTAATATGTGTTTCTCTGACCCACTTGTTAGTCCTCTATTTACCAAACTGGAAAATGGGCAGGAAAGCCTCAATCATCTCTGAGGGCCCTAATGTGCAACACGGACACTGCTGGATGCTGTGATTCCACACAGGAGGCCCTAGTGTGAGAGGGCCCTGACCACAGCTCACCGGGAATCAGGCCGTGTAGCCTCCACGTAGGCTCCCAGGCACCAGTGGGATCACCCACCAGAAAGAAGACATGAAGGACTGTAGCTCCAGGGTCTCAGAGGGAGACAGGGCTCCTCCGTCTGCCAGCAGCCCTGGCCTGTGATGTCCATTGGTCCTCTCCTTCCAAGCAGGAACATGCCTTTCAGCAAGCCCTGTGCTGTGACACCCCATGTGAACTGGAGCATCCCCAGAGAGTGGCTGGCCACCAGCTCTCCCTCCAGCACACTTTTGGGCCAAAGACATGTGGTAACCTCAAATTCTCAGCCTGCTCACTCTCGCCTCTCCCCACACCAGCACACTCACCACCAGCTATTCACTGCCTCTCACTTGCCTATAAAGTGAACTCCTTCTCATCCTCAAGACGCAGCCTCCTCAATGTTCAACAGGCTGGGCCAGGGGATGCCCAGCTCACAGCAGCACAAGCAGATGGGGACCAAAGGATGAATACCTGGTCCCAGCAGGACCGAGTTTATGCTGTCAGTTGCCAATGCTTCCTGCCTCCTCCCTGGTCCCTACAAAAGCTGCCCTGGGCTTTGAGCAGGGACAGATGTGTGCCTGTTCCCACTGCACCCCTTCCCAGACTGAGCGCTCCGCCAGGCAGGGCCCAGTGACAGTGACAGAACACAGGTGTGGAGGAATCAACCTTGGCTCTGACACTGCTGCAGCCCAGACACACCATTCCCTCCCTCTGCCTCACCCAGGCCCCAATGGGAGGGCACTGGTGGCTCCACAGCCCTTTCCCTCTGGGCAGGCTCTTTTCCTGGGGGGCTTGCTGGGCCTTGGTGGCAGGCAGAGTGCTCAGCTGAGGATACCAGGGACTAAGCCTACACTCCTCCGATACGGATTTCCACCAGTGAGAGCAGACGCAGAAATAGTCAGAATGGCCAGAGGCCCACGTGGCTGCAGGTGTGTGTGTGTGTGTGTGTGTGTGTGTGTGTGTGTGTGTAAACCCCAGCAGAACACTGCAGGTGCTCTCCAGGGCCTTATCTGTTAGCCCTTGGCCATACCCCAAAGCCTGCCCTGGGGACCCATAACTCGAGCTGGATGCTCGTGACGACTCGTTGCTCCTTCCAGGGTCAGCCAAGCTGTGGGCTTCCAGGAGGCCCAGGACCCAGCAGGACAGCTTGTGCCCCACGACTCATTTGGCCATCAGCACGGGGTACACTGAACGTGTGCATGTAAGGGAGAAGGCTGGCGAGCCTGCTCTGACCTCAGAGCACGTGTGTCACCACCTATCGTGTAGCATGCCTTGGGGTGGGGAAGGGGCACACAGCAAGTACGAGGGGCCCTCTGCCAAGGTGCCCAGTGACGGGTGCACTGACCATCCTGACCAGTGGCCACATCCATAGCATCTTCCTCCCCTCCTCACTCAGCACAGCGGGTCTCGGCGAGTCCCCAGGTAAGGAGGCCCCGGCATGCCTCTCGGGCAGTGAGGGTCAGGGGGACATGGCCTGGTGGCCGCGGGAACTCACCATGCACTTGTTGGGCTTCTCGCCTGAGTGCACCCTCATGTGGATGAGCAGTTTGTAGCGGGCGTTGAAGGGCTTGTAGCGGCGCACGCAGCCGGCCCAGAAGCAGGTGAAGTCCTCGCCCTTGCGCTGGTCGATGTGGCTCTTCTCGATGTGCCGCACCAGCTCCTCCTGCTGCTCGTAGGCTGCACAGCAGTCCACCCACCGGCACGCCTGCCGCCCAGCCACCCTCCCCGCCAGGCCCAGCCCCAGGCCTCCAAGGCCCGGGCCTGATGGCACCTGAGGCAAGGGGTAGGGGGGTGGCAGGCCAGGCTGGTGAGGTCCGAAGAGCTCCGAGAACTCATCCGCTGGCTCCTGCTTCAGGAAGCCCGCCTTCCGGCAGGATTCCACCTGCAAACTGCCCTCATGACTCTCAGTGGTTGCAGGGCCCAGCTGGGCCCGCTTGGGAGGGCCCCCCAGGTCTCCCGGTAGAGGGGGGCTCCGGAGTCCATTCACACAGGTGACCAGAGCAGTCTGGGAGGAGCGGACGATAGAGGTGATGTCGGAGGAGGCACAGGGTGAGGAGGAGGCTGAGGAGGTGACGGGCAGGCCCAGGAGGCAGCAGCGCTTCAGGCCGCCCTCGGGGAGGTGGGCCTCAGGTGGGGGGCCCAGGCCGGGGCTGGATTCGCTGCCTAGAAGGTAGCAGGAAGGTGCGGAGTGGGCAAGCACTCGGCCCGGGAGGTCCAGGTCCGTGTGCGGGCCAGAGGCTGGTGGGGCCCGGCAATGGGCAGACAGGGGTACCCGAGCTTCCATCATTGCCTGGTAGATGGGCAGGGACTCCTGCTTGATGTGCTGTGTGGCCGGGAGGCTGCCATTCACATATGTGGCCTGGGGTCTGGGTGACCTGGAAGACAGGGGCCAGAGAGGCCATGACAGGGTGGGCACTCACAGTGGGGAGGCCCAGGAAGGGGGCAGCGAGGAACCTGAGGGCTGAGGGCCTGGCCGAGGAAGCCCGAGCAAGGATGGAAGGTGAGGAATGGAAGGCCGGTGGGGAGGGAGGGAGGGGCCGGTAGGAAGGTAGAGATCTGCTGTCTGGCCAGCAAGGAAGAGTATGGAGGAAAAAGGGAGAGGGGAGGAAGAGAAGTGGGGCTGGGGAAAGGTTCAAAAGAGGCAGGAGGTCTGAAGAGGAGAATGCAGGAAAAGAAACCATTCCCTCCTTTTACCAAGTCCAGCCCCTACCCCCTCCTGCCCTGGATGCCTCCCGCCCAGCCTCCCAGGCCTCCCTAGGGTCTGCCCTGACCGCCCCCCAACCCACCACCACCTTCTAGTGAGTTCTGGAGGGCTAAGGTCGAGGCTGACATTTTGAGGGACAGTTCGTTTTAAATTCTGCTTACATGTCCTTTAAGTCTTTATGAATTTTTTAATCTTTCACAATTTCTAAAAATGATAACTGTGATGTTTTGCCCCAAGCAAGGTCTTGACACTGAGAATATTAGTGGATGGGGTTTTTAAACACGGTCCTGGTGGAGGGTACATCCCAGGAATAATTAAGGAAAAGCTTCTTGGGTGGGGATGACCCAGAATTTCAAGCCCAGACACTGTGATGGGGGAAGCTGTGGGCAGGCTGGCCAGCAGGGCAGCACACAGGAGGCAGAGGGCCTAGGTTCAAGGCCAGGCTCAGCCACCTCCAGCTGTTCACACTGAGCGAGGGGCTCTGGGCCTCTCCCCTCACCCCACCTTCAGAATGGTTCTACTCCCGAGGGTGCGGACGGTGTGACGGGCAGGGCTGGATGGCTGAAGTGGTATCTTCATCACCCACGTGGTACATGCCATTCTAGAGAGGGCTTCTCCTGAATGTGGACAAGTATGTGCAAGTAGAGACACCGGGCCTGCTGGTCACCTGAGGACTCTGAGAAGGGGAGGGGCCCGCAAGCTGGTGCTTGGCCTTGGGTCAGAGAAGCCCCCACCGGCCGTGGGCAGGACAGGAAGCCTGTTCTGTGCCACCCCGTGTGTCCTCAGACCTCGCCCCGTCACAGCCTTGGTGACCGCACCTGTGAAATGAGGACCAACCCTCTCTACCTCAGAGGGTGGCTGCCAAGCTTAAGTGGGAACAGATGTTGGGAGGCCGTCTGGAAAGAGGATGGCAGAGCGAATGGTGCGATCCTCTCTGTGTCCCAATGTTACTTCCTGCAGCTCTGGCCCGCCCCTCTCTGGCTCTGTAGCTGAGGCACCCCAGCTCCAGTCACAGGGGGAGGGGGAAGGGACAGGAAGCCAGAGCCCAGAGCACTCAGAGAGCATCGCCTCCAACTCCATCACCACAGGGCCAGGAAAGGAGCGAGAGGAGGTGGGCCTCAGACGGGGGGGCAGGTCCAAGAAGGCACCAGTCTTGCCCACAGTCACGAGCAGCAGGCCAGTGGCAGGACTGGGGCCAGAACCCAGGCTCCCCTCCTCCTGCCTTTCTCCTATACAGACCTGTGGAAAGGCTTGGGGGAGGAGCTCTTCTGCTTTTTTCTCAACTGCACTTGAACAATCCCTGGTTAGCTCACCAGCGACCTCTCTTCCCACCCAGGAACTCTGCTGCCCAGAGCACAGTCCGTGGAATCAGGAGCCGCGTTCTGAGGTGGACCGAACACGTAACCCCTCTCCAGGGCTGGGGGTCCTGGGTCCGTCCTCACCAGCAGAAAGCTCCAAGCAGCTTAGAGATCTGCTATCCAATTGTGACGGGGGCTTACCCAGATAAATCAAAGCACAGCTGTTCCTTGCGTGACTGCAATCCCGGGCCTGGCGCAGGTAAGCTCAGGCAGGGAAGGACGGCCAGGGAAGCCTCTGTTTCGAGTAATCCCTTTAAAAACAGTCAGGCTAAAGCAAACCCCACCAGGAGGAGAGGCAGCTATAGTTTCCTGTGACTGAGTCCCCCAAACAATCGAATAATCGACAAGAAAATCTCAAATGACATCAGGTGAGGAGTGGGCGACTCTGGTCCTGGGGTCCCACGGCTCCAAATGCCAGCTGAGCCGCCCCCGCCTGCCTCGCTGTCCCTGTGCACCCAGGCAACTCCCATCACCGCTAGAAATGGTGAGCGTGAGTCCCCAGATGAGCAAACACCGTGGAGCAGCGCCACGCGCCAGGCGCTCTCCCGAGGGCCGTCCCAGCACAGAGCGATGCGAGGCACCTGCTGAACGCATGCCCGAATTCAAGGGAGAGACTACCATCTGTTTTACGCTTCGGAGAACTGAAGCAACCTGCCCGAGCTGTCAGAGGCGGTCAGGGATAGAGCAGGAATTTGAACTTGGACCTGGTTAAATAAGAGCCTGGGATTTCCCACAACACTCTACTGGCCCGGGCCCCACTTCCTCGTCTGTAAAATGATCTAATTGAATAACCTTATGTTTCCCTGCAGCCTTAATGTTCTGAATCTCAAGGCTCTATCATCCTGGACCCTGGAAGGAAGTTTCCAAGGAGAGAAGAGGGTGATGTGGGACCTCATGGGGTCCGCACACCCGAGGGTTCAAGGCTGCAGCCCGGGCTGAGGGTCAGCGAGCTCACTCACAGCTTTCACACTGTGCCAGGGGAGGCTGGGGACCCAAGACAGTTCAAAGCCCAGGCAGGCCCCTGCCCTTCTAATGGGGAAACGGAGGGCCAGCCCCCTGAGGGAATGCTGAAACTCCCCTGAGGGGTGGTCGCACTGTGTCACACAGAAGAGAGCACAGGGGCTCTGGAGGCCGAGACGTGAAGATATTAAACTATGTGGCACGTTCAAAGCAAGGCCAGGAAGCTGGCGGCGGGCAGGCCGGGGCCCCATCACGGGCACCTCCTGATGCTGCCGGGGGCCTACACGCTCTGTGACCCCATCCTCATCTTACAGGTGAGGAAATGGGGCTTAAGAGGGTCAGCATCTCACCCAAGGTGGCCCAGGGAGCCAGTGATGGAGCTAGGACTGGCTCTGCAATTAACAGTGCATTCTGCTGACCGTGGTGAGGATGGGCAGTCATTTTAAGCACAGAAACGACAAAATCGGGATACTGCTAATGTTTCTTAACACTCCTCACCACTTGCTGGGTGACCTCTGGCTAGTTTTATAGCCCCTCTGGCCTCAGTTTCCCCACCCTACGGCAGCTATGGGCTGAATGAGTTACCACATGTGAAGTGTCGAATAGTAAGCACCCCAGGATTGTCACTTATTAGTGACAGGACCTGGGCCTCCTGGGACTGTGCGGTTAAATGAGAGACTGTGCACAGGAGCAGCCACTCAGAAAGTGGGAGCTTTTTTATGGGTATTAGAAAGCTGGGCCGGAAGCAAGGAGGCGGCTTGTGTGGCTGCTGCAGGAACCCAGGCAGTGGGGTGAAGGGGCCAGAGATCAGGAGGGGACAGCAAGAATGGAGAGGAGGCCCCAAACACAAGGCAGTCCAGTGGCAGGGAGAAGGGGCAGGATCTGCCTGGTGTGGGAGAGGGGCTGGCCCTCTTTTCCTTTAGGAAAATGAGTGAATCTGAAAGTGCCAGGTCAAATTCAACCACTTCCTCCTTGGCAAAGGTGGCAGCAACTTGGGTTGATGCTGGTGCAGGGTTCTGGGTACAGACTCTCCTGTGCCCTCAACTGTCAAAATGACATTCAAAATGACAAATGATATTTCTGATTGTTTCTATCTAAAAAGAAAATGGGGAGGGGGGCATCTGTAATACTTTCGACAATAAAGATAAATTATTTAAAATAAATAAAAATAAAAATAAACAAACAAAAAAAGAACACTTGCCAAGCTTTCCCTGGGTTCGCATAGCATCTACCCCGAGAGAGGCAGATTTCACTGGAGAAACTGGATACTGCTGGGAGCCTCAGTGATAATCAAGCGGATACATGCATCTGGCTGTTGCCAAACAGTGCACAGCTTGAAATCTAAAGGATGTTTGGTCCTGCTGTGTACTGAACTGATGTCCCCCTACAGTTCGTATGTTGAAGCCTGCACCCTCAATGTGACTGTATTTGGAGACAGAGGCTAAGGGAGGTGATTAAGGTTAAATGAGGTCACAGGGAGGGGCCCTAATCCGAAAGGACTGGTGTCCTCATAAGAGGAAGAGACACCGAGGGTGTGCACACAAGGCCGCGTAAGGACACCGGGAGAAGCGGCCGTCTGCAAGCCCAGAGAGGCCTCGGGAGAACCCAAACCTACTGACATCTTGATGTTGGCCTTCCAGCGCCCAGAGCTGCGAGAAAATAAATGTCTGTTGTTAAAGCCGCCCCATCTGTGGTGTTTGGTCATGGCAGCCGAGCAGACTAATACTCTCCTATAAGTCAGAAGTCTCATTCACATCAAGGGAGGCCATAGGAAACGTAAATTCTCAACGGAAAATGGTTCCACAAGAAGAAAAAGCTATTTAGTACTATCTCCCCCTGTGGACTCCCACTGGGAAGTAAGCTCCATCGGGGAGCTCTCTGCTCCCTCCACCAAGGCACCCCAGCACCCACAGTGCCTGGCTGGTGAAGAGATCCAGTGGTTCTCAACCTTCTGGCCCTTTAAATACAGTTCCTCATGTTGTGACCCAACCATAAAATTATTTTCGTTGCTACTTCATAACTGTAATGTTGCTACTGTTATGAATCCTAATGTAAATACCTAATATGCAGGATGGTCTTAGGCGACCCCTGTGAAAGGGTCGTTCGACCACCAAAGGGGTCACAACCCACAGGTTAAGAACCGCTAAACTGTGAACAGGCAAGTGGGCCAGTTTTTAGAATCTCTGGCCTGTGAACAGACCTGAGGTCAGCATCCCACGCAGTGGGGTACAGGGGCCTATCTGAGGTTGACCTCCTCCTGTCAGCAAACCAGAGGCATGGGCGGGACCCTGGGAGAAGCCGCAGGAGGCAGATTTCAGCCTGGCATGCCATCTAACGGGATACTTTTGCAGAGGCAGACTGGAAACGTCCTAGCACTGAATGACGCCCGTTACCTGCCAGGGTCCTGCAGGGGGAAGGTTTCCCAGGGGAGGAGATGGCCCAGGTAGAGGAAGCCCTCCACTCTGTGAGCAGCCCAGGCTTTGACAATGTGACTCCTGAACTGAGTTTTCCTTCCCCGACTCACTCCAAATCTCCCTCTTCTAAAACGACTGGTTCTCTGTGAAAGGCCACCTCGGCTGCTGCAACGGGGAAGCACACCTCAATAAAACCATCTCTCTCTCACGAGGTCCTGCAATTCCAGAGGTGCAGGGCCTCGTCCAGGCAGCCATCATTGTGCTACTGGGCTCTGGCGGGTCCCTGGCAATCCCGTGCCTCAGTTTCTCTGTGTATCCTATAAGCCAGACAGACTAGGTGAGGTCTGGAGGCCTCCAGGGCGTGTCCACAGAGGGCAGCTGATGGTGGGGATGGAGCACATACCTGCTGGGGTGGGGGAAATGGAGCAGCCTCTCACAGGCTGGGGGGTGGCCCCTGGATGGGGGGGTTCCCGCCGAGAGAAACAGGCCCTGACGGCAGGTGGGGCCCAGGCCCTCGGCAAGGTCCAGGTCCAGCAGGCTCTTCTCGGAGCCTGGGGTGCAGTGGCCGTAGCTCCCGTTCACTAGGTAGAGAAAGACAGGAAGAGGAGACAAAGTAAGTGGGGACAGCCTGCCAGGGGTGCAGGCAGAGGGCAGTCACTGGGTGCAGCATGAGACAGAGCACCCTTGAGCTAACACTAACTGAACCCCTACTACACCTGAGGCACAGGGACACCTCACTTAATTCCCATAATCACCAGCAGGATCAGTAATAGCATCAGCTGCTACTCTAGGTGCAGGAAAGACTTGGGAGCTAGGCGGACAATCTCCTGTCTCTGGGAAGCTCAGAATCTATGATCCTCATTGATCACCTAATGCTCATTTGCCGGGTGCATGGCCACCTTGGAGCTGGTGTTCTGGAGCTCAGCGGCCCAGCAGGCTGAGTGAGCGACACTGACACTGTATGTCCAGGAGCAGGTGCCTACTGAACAGCACCTGTTCTTATTGTCACCAAAGCTCAATCTACAGCGTTTTCCAGATTTCATTATAACATATAAATACAATATGCAGTGCTTCACGCCTCTGTATCCTCCATGGTTCTTTGACAGCCTAAGTATCTGCTGGGCCCAGCTGCTGGGTTTCTATGAAGAATAATTGAGGCAGCAGATGTGAAAGCCCCTGAAAAACTACGTCACATGTAACAGAAATGTCAGGGATGTTTGTTGTTCCTTCCACTCCCTAAGCCTCCGTTTTCTCATCTATAGTGTGAGGAGGATTAATCTGGAAACTACTTCTGACTTAGGCTTTCTGCCCTGTCACCCAGCCAAGTTAGGCTAAGGAGGGAAGGACATACATGGGCTTGGGGCCTATGGGTCTTGGTGTGAGTCCCTACTGGCCCAACCAAGCCTGTGACTTGGACCAGTCCCTCCCCGAGCTGACCCTCCCCGAGCTGACCCTCACCCCAGGTAGAAGATGGAAACAGCCATGCCAGTTCCTGGGAGATGCTGTGAGGTTCTGAGCCCTGGGGTGCAGAGCCCCTAGCACACTGCTGGCACCTGGTAGGTGTGCCAGGAGCAGAAATTGTTCTTACTGCCATGTAGCACTTTGAAAAGCATAAAGTACCCTAGAGAGGTAATAAAACATTAACAGGCCCAAGTATTGTCCAGGAACTGCAAACACTGAGCAAGACACCCCGTTAAGCTGAGAAGAGAACTGACACCAGCACACCCCTAATGTAAAGACAGAGCGCCATTTGTCAAGCAGTGTGTGCAGGCCCTGGGTGCGGATCCACTGGCCTCTGAGGAAGGGTATTATTGTCCCCATTGTACAGAAGAGAAAACAGAGGCTCGGCGAAGCTAAATGCGCCCAAGATCACACAGCTAGTAAGAGTCTGGGATCTTTGACCTGAGTCAGACCCAAACCTCACGTTGTAATCACTATGTAATAAAAAGTGGCCCCTTAGCCAAAAATCCAACCTCACTCTAATTCTAGCCCACCCCCAAGGCCAGACACTCTGAGCTAACCCAACATGTGCCCACAGCCCTGGACAGGCACCCGCATTCACCTGCCAAGCACTTGACAGTTTGCAGATGAGAACACAAAGCTCTCAAGGTCCTAGGCCAGGTAAGGGGCTCAGACAAAGTTCCAGGTTCCCGGGCACAGGTAAGCCTGCCCAGATGAACATTTGCGCAGAAGCTGCCCTCTGTGTCACCTTCCCAGCCAGAGCCTGGGCCCGTGTCTTGCTGTGAGGAACACTCACTCCCACTGGCTTTGGCTGCTGCTGAGCCAGCCCCTCACAAGCTTATTTTTTAATAACTTGGTTGTTTTTTAATTAAAAGGAAATCCCTGGTAACAAATGTGAATGGCCTGAGCTAATGAGAGCAGGCTGCCGCTCGCTTAACTCCGTCTCTGCTTGGCGGTCTCTGCCTTTTCCAAATCGTTTCTGCATGCGATTTTATTGTCCCATTGAGGCAAACCATGGGGCTGGGCCTCAGAAAACTGTGGATAATTTTATGACCATTAATAGCATTTGGAGCAGAGAGAGCTTAATCATCACACAGGGCTGTTCGGCCAAGGTCTTTCTCCCAGAGTCTTTGGGTTGGGCAGGCAGTTCAGAGCTTCCTTCAAGGACCCACCAGGCCCATTGGGGACCTCTGAGTCACTTCTCCCTCATTCACTTGGGAGAATGTGTGGAACGGTGGACGGTGGCCCCCGGAAAGGCGCCAGGGAGCCCAGCATTCTTCAAGCCCTTATTCATCAGGCATTTCCTAGGTGCCAGACACATTCAGTACTCTCAAGTGTCCATCCCTGTGATGTGGGCCCATTACAGCCATTTTCCAGATGAGAAAAGTTGAGGTCTGGAGAAATTGGGACCTTCGACTAGGACCACAGGTCTGGGTTTGACTTGTTTGGCCCCACCCAGATCTTTTAGACTTCAAAGCCCAGGTTCAGTCCTGCCACCCCTCAGCCAACTAAACAACTGGGGGCCCCTGAACAAGCATCCCCACCTGTGACTCCAGTGAAGATCGTGTTGGGGGGCTGTGGGGGAAGTCAAAGAACCATCATCCCAATGACTCCTAAACTCTGCAGGTGGCAGGATCACTCCGTCTACAGACGAGCACAAGGGCTCAAGGAAGTTTAATGGTTTACCCAAAGTCACCCAGGCAGGCAGTCAGGGGCTGAGTTGAGATGTGGGAAGAGACAGTCACTGTTACTCAATGAAAAATTGAGGCCTGTTGGCTCTTCTCTGCTGGATACACTAAGAGGTTTTCCTAGCCATATATATAAAAGCCTAAGTGACTGAACGACTGGTTGCTATGATGCACACTGACCACAAGGGGGCAGACACTCAATGTAGGAGCTGCCCCCCGGTTGGTCAGTGCGCTCCTACAGCGGGAGCACCACTCAGCTGACCGACGGGTGCCAGATGCCACCAGGCTCACGGCTGGCAAGCGCAGCTATGGCAGCACAAGCCTCTCCTATCTCTGCAGCAGTGCTACCAAGCAGTGACAGCAGGACAGCGGGGGTGGGGGGTGGGGTGGGGGGCCAGGATGAGCGGGAGTGGCCTAGCACCCAGCTTGGGCTCAGGCTCCTCCCCGGCCGCCTGGCCTGCAGGGATCGGGCCGGAACTGGCAATCTGACATCCCCTGAGGGGTCCCAAATTGCGAGAGGGTGCAGGCCAGGCTGAGGGACCCCACTGCTGCACAAATCCATGCGCTGGGCCTCTAGTAATAAATAAGCAAACCAGCTGTGAGAAGGAGGAAGGAGCCCCTTGGTTCAGTTTGGCACTTCTCAGGGCTCCAAGCCCATTCAAACGTTGTCTTGTGTGAACCCTCCCAGACCCCAGATGAAAGCCTGGGCCTCCCACCTGGCAGAGGGACATAATCACCAAACCTGGCAAGTAGCTGCCCGAGGTCACATGTCAATTGCTGGCATAGCCAGGGCCTGAACCCAGATATCCCAAGGCCTATGCCAGATCCCACCCTGGGCCACCTGCTTTCTCACAGGCTGAAATTAAACCAGAGGCTGCAATATGTTCCCCAGAGATGCTGCCACTACTGTCACTGCTGCCCACTCCAGGCCCACGTCAGCCAGGGGACCTCCCACTGTCCTCCCGCCTGTTGGCATCGTGCCTGTCTGTCACCAGGTGCATCATGGAACCCACCCCTGCTCACTCTACATCAAGCATATCAAACTCGCGGCCCCCGGGCCGCATGCATCCCATAACAAATATTTTTGCGGCCCAGCCAATATAATAGTGTAAGAAATGTTTTCATAAAAAATTCATAACTTAATTTTTACAGTATCCTGTTACACATAATTATTAATAACAAACTACAACGTTCGCTAATGACTGATTACTATAATCATGTTGCATTGATTTCCCTTACGCGCCTTACACGCAGGTGTACCATTTCTCTCCACTGATACTAGCAGCAAATATTTTAGCAGACGACTGCCACGTCATTAGTCTTGGACTGACTTGTTTGGTGTGCACAACAGGAAATATTCACTTTCGGAAAACAAGAAAAATAGGTTTATTTGCATTATGCTTATTAATTTGTGCAGTGATTCAGTGTCTGGTAAGTTAATATTCAATAAAAAATAATAATTTTTATTAAAATGTTCTATTATTTTATGTTAACGTTTACTCATTTATTCCAGCCCTTTGTGTTCAGCATGTCTCTATCAAAAAAAACCCCTACATTTCCATGAAAATTGAAGATTTTGGGTTTTTTGTGGCCCACATAAACTTAAACCTAGCATATTTGGCCCGTGTTAGCCTTTGAGTGTGACATGCTTGCTCTACATCTTCAGGGAGCAGGACTGGAGTCTTTCTCAAGGGAGGCAGGGGAGTGAGAGGGGCACAGCAGCCCTGCGGCCTGGAGGCAGGCTGGGGACACCCAGCAGCCATGTCTCCCTCTGTGCCACAGGGGACCAGACCTTGGACCTGGCTTTGCCCATGTACCGTAAATGAAGCTTTTTTTTTGGAGGATTGGAGGGTCAGAGGGTCCTGTGTTCATTTTTACAAGTTGGTGAGAAAATCTAGCACATCAGGGCCGGGACTGACTGACCTGTTTCAATAATAGATGAAGAAACTGAGGCTCACACTGCAAATCCACAACAGAGGCTGGACTGGCACCCTCGGGGCTAGGTAAGAGTTTGGTTTCGATTCCTCTTCAAGTCTCAGTTTTCTTATCTGTAAAATGGTGCTAACACTACTTCACAAGGTTCTGGTGACAATTAAGTGAGATGATGAACACAACGTGTTTGGCATGGTGCCTGGCTCACAGTAACTGTATAACGGTGTAATGGTGTCAATAATGATAATTATCTCTTCCACTTATCCTTGAGCTTGGGATGGGGCCAGGAGGCAGGGCCCTGTGTGAGAAGTATTCTAACCCCAGGAAAGTCAGACCTGGATGGCCTTGAAGCCAGACGCAAAAGGACAAGCCCCCAAGGCTCAGGGGTCAACGAACGCAGGACCAGGCAGCCTGAATGAGGTCACAGCCAGCAAATCTGAAGCCAATGTCTCCAGTTACACACCACAGAGCTTTGCAAATTACCGTAATGACTTGGCTAT